AGTTACTGCGGTCGCGATGCTTTACCTAGAGACTATTGACCGTTCTCTGTTCACCATCAGCGAGACACACGGCGGGGATTTAGAGATGAATCCTATTTCGCGGGGTATCCAAAAGCGAGGAAATTATACGAATCATTCTAATTTTGGAATTAACTCTAAAGCATCGACTGCGTGTTTATCGACGCTGCAGCGTTGTGTCATTAAAGCAAACATCTCGTATGCGTATCTATAACATTCGTACGAAGGTAACATTAAAAATATCTGGAACGTTTCCACCTTCTTTGATAAAGCTGTTCTCATTGAAAAAGCATTATAAACTATCGTGAATGTGGAGATCTTTGAATGGCTAATGAAAGAGACATGTATAATATCTTTCGATATGATCTGTACTGAGAGTTTATGGGTAGCTTTTTTCCATGTTATAAGGCTTTTCAATATTATTCTAGGCATAATGTTGATGCGTCGCTGTGTGCCAAATAACGTCGAAAATAGTTGCGATACTTGTGATAGACGCCGCAGATGTGCTCTGCTCCTATTTCTATCAAGAACCTTCTTCAAAGTCTTATCTGACTTCGATTTTTTTTTGTAATGTCGCGAATATTTATAGCAAGATATTGGCTGTAATATGGAATCTCTTATATTTATATCTGTATTCAAAGCCCACTTTTTAGATCTCCGGCAATAAAATTTGAAACGGAATTTTATTTATAACTTTTATGTACTGTATATTTTAATATACGCACGCTTATATATAGTAAGCGCAAAAAATATTTGTACAGAGGAGATATCTTTTTCAAAAGTTTCTCATTTTAAAAAAATAAATTTGTAATTTATTAACAAAGAATAAAATAGACCGTATATTTCTCAGAATTATTTTACCTGAAAAGACCTGTGTAACAAAATACATTTTTTAATAGAATATATTTCTTAAAAATAAGCGAGAATGAAAAATTATATTATTTGGCCATATATAAAAGATGCGAACTTAACTCTTTTGTTTATATTACAACAGAACGTATTCATTGTACAAAATTGTTAATTAATATTGTTATTGTCTACAAATAAAATTTTTTAAAATTCTCCTGTACAAATACTTTTTGCATTCGCTGCATGGATATTTATGTTATATATTTCGATATATGTATATTTCAATTCTTTGTTTTCTATACGGCACGTAATAAAGTAATAAATAATTCTGTTCCAAATCCCGTAGCGAATTTTTGATCGTTTAAAATAGTGATTGCACAGTGTTCTTATTTTATTGTAACAGATCGTTATTTTAACAGTTGCGTTAGTGGAGTAACGCAAACTTGGTTAGAAATGAAGGGCGGTTTAATTACATATAAATCCCGAATGTCCGTTGGGCGAGTTGATTAATGTTACATCTCTGAATAGCTCCTTTGTGAATTACCAGCAAAATCTGTACAAGAAACGTTACATATGTTATTTATCTGATAACTCGCGATTCAGTAATTCTGTACAATTGCTATTTAATTCATAAAGTGTTTTACAACACTCAGAAATGTTGTGTCACGTGTTATTCACGCGCATCACGTCTTATCGCTGCATCCAAGCGCACAATATTACTAAAATAGCAGAGATTGTTTTCGTAAACGTTTTATCTTAATATATAGCTTAATATATAGATTTCATTATTCATCAAAAAAATCTCATCTCTGTAAATCCAAACAAGAGCATATCGGATATGTTTTTGCTAGTATATTACATCAGAGGATAAATTAAGAAAAATGGTGAAAGATTGACGTTATAAAATTATTTGTGATATCAAATATTGACGAATTGAATCTTGAAGATGCAAAATGACACAAACAAAATCTGCTTGTTTGTTTAATTTACTTCTATTTCGATAAATATTTCAAGTCACAATTTTGTTAAGATATTAAATATTGGAACTTAATGTTTGATAAATTTTATAAAAATTTATCAAATAATTCTTTAAAAAAATTTGCAGTGCATTCAATGCACTGAGAGAAAAAAATGATTGCAATCACCAGAATTTAAAGTTAATTAATTTATAATTCATTTTCGATGCCAACTGTATATTTTTTGTTGCACTATAAATATAATTATTATTGCTAATACTATAGTAATAAAATTATTTTAAAAAATGGAGTTTCTAACCATGATTTTCGCATGCAATTATAATCACAAACATCAAACTTTTTTCTCAGTATGATTTCTAGAAAATTCTGTACACAAAGCAAACATATTTATTATTTGCACAATGATATCGATCAGAATTTCTTCTCTGCCTGTTACTGAAAGCCAATTAGCTATTTAAAGCAAATGAGACTTTTGTTCGGATTACATTGTTGAAAGTTATGAGTTTTACTGCGTATTAAAATAATTACGCAAGAATAACTCGGTATAATAAGAAATGAGTGACAGGTCGAAAAACTGTCCAAAGTTCAAAGGGTCAAATCCTTCTCGGAGGCGGCTTCAGCCGAATTATTATCGATCCACTCGCTCGTCGAATTCACGAGGTCGCGCGGCCTTCCGCGGAGCGTGACAGAGCGATCGTCTGTCGCGAGTTCACGTGGCTTCTATTGATTTACTACAAGCCCGCCGGTTTCACGAAAGACCACACCGCCGCCACCTGTCTCCTCTGCCGCCGTCTCCGCCGTGAAAAGTTCCCCCCTTCGGATCGATCCGGTGTCAGTTGGAATCTGCTCGTAACCTGCTGTCTGAAGTATACGGTCACGCTACTCTGTAACAATGTGTCACAGAGGTTCGTTGACACGACGTGTCGCGAACGACACGACGCTAACTCCTAGCGATCCGCGAGAGTTTCGAAAAGCGAAAGAGTTTTGTTTTAGAATGAATTATTGCTTGATAAATCATATACTGTCGAAATTAGTTGAACTGAGTCCTCGCTAAAATGTTCCGAATAGTATGTAATGAATAATAGCTTGATTCTGACGTTTAACTGACATGAGAGATAATGAATTATAAACAGTAAATTTTATCTCACGTTATTCTATTTGTTCAAGTAAGATGTCATTTAGACTTCAGTCCTCTAAAAGTTAAAAGAGATTTATTGGATATTGAACTTAAATTTATGTTCATATATAAGTTTACTGCGAATATGAGAATATAATATAGCACTCTTTTTCTTTAAGTTAATGTGATTATTTACAAAATCTAATGAATCTATACTTAGCGAGAGAAAGAGATCTTGATATTTTATTTAACGGAACGAGAAAATTACTATAATGGTGCTGTATTTTGGAGGAATACAATGAAGTAATGAATTATAAATCTCATTCAAAGAAATGTTGTAAGTTTAAAAATAGGTTTCATAAAATATAAGTGTGCTATACAAACGACTTTCTTTAGCAAAATACTAGAGTTATCTATTTAATATATTCTCTAGGCGACCTTCTTCAGACGTTTGCAGTGAGAAATCGATTGCACGATATTACTGAAGAATAAAAAGTGAGAAGTAAGAAGTCATAAATCTTTTTGAAGTTCTTGCCGAATTATTAAGAAAAGATGAAAGAACCGTCGAACAGCCATCACGGTTGACGGAATTCATATTGTCTCTTCTTTGGACATGAAAAAGCAAAGTTGAATAAGAATCATTAAAATGCTGGACTACTCCAAAGCCACGTAAGAGTTATACTTTATGCTATACAATCGATATGTATGTACGATAAACTTCTGCGTTGGACAATGGTAATCGACAAAATAGAATACTTCTTGATTAAAATAACAGCTTTATATACAATACCATAAGTTTCTCTTATCGATCTAAGATTTCTCTAAAATCACAATCGACGTAATCGATGATATGCCTGGCTCAGAACACATTACATTATCTTCTATAACGTGAACAATTATTAATTATTCAAGAGCGAACAATTTTATTAAGAGAGAGAGAGGGAGAGAGAAATTTGATCAATAGAAAGAAGACAAAATATCTACTATAACATGAAACATGTAACAAAATAGAATAGATTAGGTGTTGATAGTATCAACAATAAGAATATTTATATAGCACATAAATTATTATGCTTCAATCATTAATCTGGAATTTATCATTTCATAATCAACAATACATGTAATCCAACATTTTAACGAAGTAAAAAGATATATAAAGAAAAAGATATAATAGTATTGATTACTTGCCTAAAGGTTTAAAATACGTTACGAAATCAATAATTATTTATATTGAGATTAAGAAGATCAATTCCAAAAATCTTCACGAAATAGAATATTTCTTGGCATAGACATATCAACGATCACGTCAATTGTGATCGTAAGAACGTTTATTACATTAGAGTGTAAGATTAAAATTAGACGTTTGAATTCACGTTTTAATTCTTTCACATATGACTGCCGATCGACAACAAACTTGATAGTGTAGGAGTATACGGTGTAAGAATATATCACAGTAGCGAATAGAAGCTACGATATTGCAACTCTCGGTTGCAACACGCCGCGTATCCTCAATATATCTCGATTATATTACCTCAAATAGGTCCAATATCACTTTCTCTTAATTTTTTGAAAATTAAATTAAACGTGCACCTGATACGGCGCGACCATGACTATTGTATAGCATCATGCAACAGCAACGCCACGCGTATTTTCAAAAGGGAATGTGTGTATATATATATACGTGTATATCAGCGGAAAGATCACATAAGTCCACCTGCCGTCAGAGGTACGCAGGATCAAGGACAAGTCACACGACGAGGAAGTCGATGGACAATTAGATAAATGGACGGCGGCGGAACGAAGGGATGAAACATGATGGGGTAAGAAAGAGAGGGAGAGACATTAAAGGAAAAGACACGAGGGTGAAAGAGAGCAGGTCGTAGGCCGCAGGGCGTACGGGCTACATCCGCACGTACCTCCTTACTTCGGCAAAATCAATAACCTGTTTGGGAGTGTTAGGAGAGAACCTAAGGAGAGAGGCCGTAGCGCGGTACCGCCAGGTCGGAGATCCAGGTGGTAGCTGGTATTTTGATACATACGCTGTCTGTCAGCCAGATGCTACAGCGTTCCCCGTGTGTGCCAAGTGAACGGCTCCTCCCGACCAGGACTTCGGTGGTGCTCCGGCGTTGCGCAGGAGTACGAGGACACACACCTTCCCTCACCCCCCGGTATATGCTACCCTCCCCCGCGAGTTCCTCCGCACCTGCGACACTCCCCACGTATACGTGCAACCTCCACCCCGGAAACCACCCCGACAGGAAAAACAAGCTTTGCTCTAACCAGGCTTGCTCTAACGAGAACAAGCAGGTGTATCCGGATATCGTTGTGAAGTAACCGCGAAATTCGAGCGGCGTGTCCACGTATATGCGGTTCTGCGTCTCGCTCGTCGGGTTACACCAGTTCACCGCTCACTGGAACCGGCGACCTAGTCGACGTTCACTGGAACTGTATGGTGTCCCGTTGAAATCCAGCTGCGACAACGACAGCGAAGTTCTCCCCCACACTTGTGCTCCGCGGGTACTTTCACCCGCAAGTTCCCACAGGAGTCGTGACGCTCTCCTTCGCGAAGTATCCACCGGCGCGGCCCGAATAACGATCGACGCGGTGCACGAGATTAACACGATTACTCCTGACGACGGCTACACACTCCCTGCACGACTGTTCCCTATTCGATAGGGCACACTCGGAGAGTCTCTTCCAGTTAACACGGGGACAACGTCGCGCCGACCCCTTTTGCGCTGGGTGGCGCCCTCGGGAAAGGACAGAATACCCCGATGCGCGTGCAATCGTCGCTTATTCCGTATACCACACACCACGCTTCTTCTCCTCTCCGGGCACCTCTGCTTCTCCGCTTCCCTCACGCGCAACTCCGAAGCGAGGCGCAACTCGAGAGACGCGGCGCGCGCGCTTCGAGCTGTCGCGGCTGTGGGGCGCGGACCACTACCTCGACGAGCCTCCCGGATCGTTGGATAAAACTTGGTGGGGCCGTTCCGGTCGACGTGCGAACTCCCCACCTCTTCGTCGTTGTCCCCACCATCGAATGGTCGACCGATGGTCCCTTCACCGCACCCCCTTCGTTCTCTGAACGGTACTGATCCCTTGTCCTCTCTCTCCTTGCCTGTACTCGGACGACTCTACTATCACAGCCAACGCCACTACCGTCACCACCGTCGCTACCATGAGGAACGTCGAGCAGTATCGTCACCCCTTAGTGGGAGGGAGGGGGGGGCTGCAGGGTGCGCGAGCGCGCGTTCACCCTCGCGCAAGAACCACGCTTCGGTCGTGTACGTCGCCTGCGTGTCGTTAAAGTTGCTCTCGCGCGCGTCACCCCCAACACCAACATCCACGATCGAGAATGAAGATAATGCGACGAGTAGCGAGGTCGGCGGTGACCACGGGGAGGTTGACGCGATGGGGGTTGCCTCTTGGATCCGATGGCTTGCGGATTCTTGGCAAGCGAAGCTTGTTAGATAAAAGTTCGAGGGAGACGTACTCTCATAACGTATTACATACGTGAAAAACCGAAAGTCTGGAGAAAGACGTGAAGAAATCGCGAATCTGATTCTTTCAATCGAGTTTCGTGCGATTTCTTCTATTATCTCATCGTCAACGTTCTAGAAGAATGATAAATTGTAGAATTGACGGAATTTGATAGTAACTAGAAGAATGAATGATAAATCGTAGATTTGACGGAATTTGATATCTTTCATCTTCAACTGAATATTTGCTGTCGCTTTATTATTGATTTCAGTTCTATTAAACAAATGAATTTCAAACATTTGTACGCTATAAATACTTCAGTTAATTTTGTTAAAACACTCTAAAAAATATAAGCGTAGATTTAACATCACATGCAGTGTTATAATTCTTATCAAGTTTTGTTAATATAAACATTATGAATTTTAAATCCATATCATGTTGATATAAATATCAATATGTGAGAATTATAATATCATTTGTTTAAATACACATCTACGTTTTTTAGAATAAAAATATATAATAAACAATACTACATGTGACTCATTATCATGAAATTGTAATGTATTGTAAACTTGTAGATATAGATTTTATGTTACTACTTTATTGCAGAAAAACCTTTATGTAACAAAATATAAAATATATAGGAATCTTCTGTCTGATACGTGACTCTGTATAGACAAGGTTCCGCAAAAAAGTAAACGAGCAATGATCGCGAAAAAGGAAAGGAAAGCCGCTTTGTCGAGACTATCGTTTAACAACATTTTGAAGTTAATTAACATTACATATTCATTTTTTCCTTTTTTCGTTTTTCTTTCTCTTTTTTTTCTGTAACTATCGACGGAGTGAGTAGCCTCATTTACATACCTTCTCGGAGGTGATAGAGCATCTGGTTACGATAAGGAATATCGAAGCGGTAGACCGTAGCTAGCTCGTTAATGAACTGGAAGATACACTAAACGCGAAAGAGAGATGCGGGTGAATAACTCCACCTGGTGCGTCGCGTCGATGAAAGTTTCGGTCTCTTCCACTTCATGATACCGCAAATAGATATCGCGGAACGTGGTCTTATTTCGACATTGGGACATACCTAAAATTCATCGCGGCGTACTCCGAACGCCTGGCATCCTAAATGTCGTAACCTCGTGCTGAACGTCATACGAGGTGGACATCGAATCCTGTGCGGTATGCACGGATTGCACATCTATTTTTATAACTTTCAATTTTGTAAGAAATATTGCGACATAAAAATCACTCAAGAGACTTTGCCCTTATTTCCTTATTTTAATGGATAAAATCAAACAGATGAAAATATTTTTTTACACGGAAAGATTTTTTTTAAAAAAGAAAATTTAAAAATTTAAGTAAATAACAGATCTAAAAATATTTTTATTGGACTATTGACATTAATAGGATGCTTGAGCGTTAATGACAATGTTGCAAAAAGTTTTAATATTTTAACAGTTTGAGTTATACACAAATCTAAAAATAATTTCGTTTTGACCATCGACATAATTATTCTGATGATCTAAATAAAATTTTTAGATCCGTATATAGTTAAATTTTTAGATACTTCAACAAAATCGTGCACATTTAAATAAATAATTGTTTGGATAAAAAGTTTAACAAAAATTATAATAATAATATGATAATATTTCTTAAAATACACGCGTTATGTTTGTCGGTAATATTTAATATAATGATGCTCAATTCAAATGCATTGACTTTTCACGAAAATTTATCAATAGGTACTCTAGAATTGAAACTATTTCCTCGGTGTTTATTTAAGAAACGACTGTTAACGCTAATATAACTCTGAAACGACAAAGTCAGGAAAATAGGGTAATTGAAAAGTAGAAACAGCTGCATGTTATTTAGGGTGACACAAATAACAGAAGGGTGAGAATTATTGATTTAGAATAATATGAAGTGAAATAGCAACAATTTTATTGTTGGATAATAACAATTTTCCATTTCTTACTTTGGAGTGTTCTAATAATTCTAATAACCAAATAGGTCTTAGAATTAAAATTTTGCTAAACTAAAGTTTATTTAAAGTAAGCCTGAATGAAACAAAAATTTCTTTATTTAATCACATTTCTTTGAAACTTCTAACAAAATTGATCGAATGAACTCACTAGTGCGCACTGGTGTTTATTAAAGTTATTGCCCAGTGATTTAATATATTGTGAATGCACAAGTGAAATGCAAATATTTCGAATTATAAAATTATTTTATCTAAAAGAACAATAAAGTGTATTGAGGATTGCAGTTTGATCGTTTCTATATATTAAACACACATCTTTACGTTAGTTTATATACGACAACTATCAGTGCGCACTGAGAGCATATCCAACTGAATTCATTATTAGTTTTTAATTTTTAATATATAATTTCGTAATTATTAAATATTTTTTCATATCTAATTATTCAATAAGAATGAGAGTCTTAGATATGGAGGATATTAATGAGAGTCTTAACTGCAGTTATAACAATATAATTACATGAATTTAAATTCTTTTTTGTTCGTTTCATTTCAGTTTACTCATAAACTAATATTTTTCTTAATGCCGAATGCTTATCTTTTTCTTGCTTTTTTTTGAAAGATAAAATCATAGAATGAAGGTTGTCATATTTTTGGATGTTCAGAAAGTATACTAGAAATGTCAGTTATATAATTAATTTCATAACTACGTTCTAGATTCTTATTTCATAGCTATCATTGCTTCACCATTAAAATAATTATTGAAGCAATCCCTTGTTTTTAGCTTATTCTTTAATATTACAGTTTTCTCTAATTAAATCTCTAATTAAACCTAAGACTGCAAGATAGTTATAAAGTGTCATGTATATATCATTATGACAAAGTAACGGTACTCTGACATCACTTTTCCACATCAAAGAGCGTTTCCTCAACGAATTCTTACTTTTATTTAAGTTTTGCCTAGTTTGTTCAAAAGTATTATCCAAGCCCTTATTATTATCGCCAGCCGGCATATGCATATGTTGTATATTATGCGTGACCGGATGCAAGTAGTGCAGCAAAACGCCGTGCTCATTCGTGCACGGCTATTGCCGATCTTTTTCCCCCTACGATCAGCCAGTTGTCTTTCCCGTTCTCGACATTCGCTCTGAACGTCGTCGTAACCCTCTTCGCGGGGTGCCCGTCAATACACAAAATGTCACGATTCACCGCTACAATCCGACGAATCCTGATAAATGATACAATGACAGTATCGACGAAGGCTGGAAGATTAATGATCACATTGTCGCGTGACGTTACGACAATTCAATGCAAATCCAATATGAGACAAAATGTAATTAAATATGATTGTGACAATGACGACTTAGTAACAGATTTTTTACAAGTTTCATTTAATGATTTTCTCAACTATGTACTATATTAAAGAATTAAATTTAAAACAATTTTAGTTAAATATTAAGTGAAATACTATTTTGTTATTTTTTATTTTTGTATTATGAGTCAAAATTTATTAACTTAACAAAATATGTAATTAAAAAACAAATCACATAACATCAATCCGTTTCTGTGATTAATTGCTTAATTAGTAGTTAAGTAATTAAATTGCTTAATTTTCAAATAAACAATGTCCATTAACATATTATATATACCTAGCAGATAACAAACTAAATTTAAGTCAAATTTAATACTATTATATTTAATATTATTATCTCCATTGTCATAAGTTCTAGTTAAATCAATAATGCTCCAAAATTTTAAGAGCAATAAGAAACCTATAGGAAAGATTAAAAACTGATTCAAATTGAATATAACTTGATTGAATGCATGTATAATGTTGGCTGGTAGTTATGATATACTTTGAGAATAATACTGATGTAGTTAATGATTTATGATTACCGTTCCAAAGATCATGCAGAAATCATTATCATACAATCAAAGGTTTACAATTTTCCGTATTTTGCCCGCACGCATGACTTATGTGCTGATACTATCGCCACAACTGCATTCAATTCAAATGGAATTATTCATATATCTATGCGTTCATGCCACACGAATAAACCGTCTTTACAGTTTCATCGGTTTCACTGGTTTATATATGGCACTACCAGTGAGAGATATATAGCGTGTACATATTAACGATATTTATTAGTGAAAACCAGTAAATTACGGCTCGCTGTTAAAACAAAATACGGTCGTATCCGGTGGGAGTGCATATAATGTCCGCAGTAATTTCTCTCGAAGTTACCGGTTATTTAGTGTAGGGTAACGCCCTTAACGAGAATTTACGGCTATTATGAAATATACGCATCTCGATTCGCATATGGAAGATCCAATATGGGGCTCTGAATTTTTCCGGTGAAGTGAGATCATCGCGGAAACGTAAATCTACGAGAGTGCTTCTCTTTACGATCTTTCCTCATACGACGCGAATGCATTTCATCGTTCTGATATTCAAATTTATTGCCGATCTTAAATCCGTGTTAACAGTATAAAATACGTACATTATGGCACGCTAGACTTTTTATACTGCGGAAACAATATTATTCATGAAATATTTTATATTAGCTATATCATCTATCCTTGGTAGTAATTTACCCACAGCTAAGTACATTTAGTACACATACTCGAACTTGTTTGATGTATGAAGTTGTATTATCTCGTTTCTTGATTTCTTGAACGCTATTGTTGAAAAATTATTTAAAAAAGTATTAAAATCACT